CAGGTGCCACGCTATCTCCCAAGGCCACTGTGGCAAGGCCAGCGGCAGCGGGGAGGTGCCCAGGGGTGCATATAAGAGCCACCGGGTGCCAGGCAGACCGTCCTCACAAGTGGCAATGGCTCTGCTGTGGGTGTTGAGCTGCCTGGCGCTGGCGGGCTTTGCCCGTGCCGCCCTCCCTGAGGGTTCGTGGGGTCGTGGGGCTTGGCGGGGCGGGCTCGGGGCTCGGGCGGGCGGCAGTGGTGGGGAGGGGACCCGGGGCCGGGTTGGCCGGAGCCGCCGTCCCACGGCCGCCTGTGCCCCGCAGACTGCGGCGTGCCCGCCATCCCACCCGTCATCCGTGGCTACACCCGCATTGTCAACGGCGAGCCGGCGGTGCCAGGGTCCTGGCCGTGGCAGGTGTCCCTCCAGGTGAGAGCCCGAGGCGGGCCGGGGGCAGGGGTGGGTGCCGTGTGGGCGGCCGGGCACGGAGCACGCCGGCCGCGGTGCCGGCGGCGGTGCCGGGTGCTGAGGGCAGCTCTCCCCGCCAGCGCTACGACGGCTTCCACTTCTGCGGCGGCTCCCTGATCAGCGAGAACTGGGTGGTCACCGCTGCCCACTGCGGCGTCAGGTAGGCACGGGCTGTGCTGCCCACCGGGCCGGGGCTGGGCACGGGCACGGGGTGCCCAGGGAAGGCCGTGTCTCCGTGCCGGCGCCCCGTGCTCAGTGCCTGCCCGTGCCCAGGAAAACCGACACCGTGGTGGTGGGCGCCTACGACCAGGACGCACCCGGCCCTGATCAGCAGAAACTGAAAATCGAGAAGGTACCTCCGGGGCGGGGTCCGTGTGCCTGCGGGATCCCACGGCCGCCACAGGCGGCCTGGCGGCTGCTGTCCGGGCTCCCCTTGTCCTGGGGTTTGTGCTCCTGAGGAGTCCCCGGTTCCCCTTATCCTGAGGGTCAGGGTTCCTTGGGGTGTCCACGGTGTCTCACATCCCTGCACTGCAATCCCCTGGGGTGGGGTGTCCCTGCTCCCACTCATCCTTCAGGTCAGGTCCCCTGGATGTCCCGATGTTCCCAGGAACTCCCAAGGGATAGGGGTTCGGGCCTCAGGGTCCACTTCATCCCCGCAAGGGATGTGACCTGGGGCGTCCCTGCTCCCCTGCGTCCCAGGGACTGGGCTCTGCAACTCGGGCACCCTGCCATCACGGGACCCACAGGAGCAATCCCCGAGGTCCCCGTTGGTCCCCGAGGTCCCTGCTGATCCCCGTGGAGTGCCCAGTGCCCGGCACCCTGGCAGGGGGTGCAGGTGCTGAGAGCGGTGCTGCCTGCTTTAGGTCTTCAAGAACCCCAAGTTCAACATGCTGACCATCCACGACGACATCACCCTGATCAAACTGGCCACTCCGGCGCAGCTGTCGGATCGCGTGTCCCCCGTCTGCCTGCCCAAGGCCACCGATGAATTCCCGGGGGGGATGACCTGCGTCACCACTGGCTGGGGGCTCACTGACTCCAGTGGTAACTGCGCTTTCTCGTCCCCATTCCCATTCCTGTCCCCTCCCTTAGCCAAATCCCCGTCCTCTGTCTCATCCATATGGTCAGTTCCTGTCCTCATTTGAATCATAATGCTCATGCTGATGTCCCGTCCAGATCCCCATCCCCATCTGAATCCCCAAGCCATTCCCGTACGCCCATCTTCATCCCAGTCCCATTCCTCATCCCCATCGCCAATCCCCGGCCCTGTCCCCATCTCCACCATCATCGCGGTCCTGTGCTCCTCGTCCCCCCATCCCCGTGCCGGGCCTTTCCCCATTGCGGCTGCGCTCCCGGTGCCGGTGCCGGTGCCGGTGCCGGT